TCATCTATTGCCCATTTTCTAATTGGATGATTTGTTTTTATACTGTTGAGTTTTTAGTGTGTTACATATTTTAGATGAAATACGTCTGTTGGATATATGGATTGAAAATATTTTCTTTCAGTCTATAGCTTAGATTTTCTTTCTCTTCACATGAGTTTTTGCAGAAAAAAAACAATTTTTCATTTTGTGGATGTCCAGTTTATCAATTTTGATTTTATGGATTGTGTTTTTAGTGTTAAGACCAAGAACTCTTCACCTAGTCCTATGTCTTAGCCATAGATGTTTTCTTTACTATTTTATTTTTTCTAAGAAGTTTTTGAGATTTGCATTTTAAATTAGGCTCATGATCCTAGTTTTAGTTGATTTTTTATAAAATATGTGAGTTTTAGGTAAATGTTCTTTTGTAAAAGATTTTGTACTTACGGATATCCAATTACTCCACTACTATGTACTGAAAAGTTTCTCCTTCTTCCATTGGATCATTTTTACACTATTGTCAAAAATCTGTTGGTCTAATTTTTGGAAACTCTTTCTAGATTCTCTGTTCTCATGGTTCTTGCTTCTGTTTCATGGATCTGAGCCTTCTACTTCATGAATACCACTTTCTTTTACAAATTGTACTTTCACAGTAAGGCTTAACATCTGACAGAGCAATTGATACCACTTCTTTTTCAAGATAATTTTAGCTATCCTCTATTCTGTTCTGTTTCATGTAAATTTTTGAATGAACTTCTCTGTGCTTTATAAAGCATCACTGATGTTCTGATGGACAGATATAGGAACCTATAAATTATTTTGGTTTTCCTACTCATTTATACCCTATATTTATATATTTAGGACTGCTTTGGTTTATTTCATCATGATTTTATAATTTAATTTTTAGCCTATAAATACTATATATATTTGCTTAAGTATAGAGCTAACTACTTTCTTTGAAACACTAGTAAATAATGTTGCATTTTTAATTTCAATTTTCACCTGTTTGTTGTAAGCATATAGAAATAAAATTAATTTATATTCATCTATCAATTTATGTAGCAACTGTATTTTTTAATCAATTGTATATGTCTTTATACAATTGCTCTTATATCCTATGACTTAACTCATGTATTCATTCTAGGAGATTGTGTGTGTGTGTGTATGTGTGCACACACGTGTGTCACCCTTGGGATTTTCTACATAGACAATCATGTCATCTGAAAAAAAAGTTTTATTTCTTTCAATTTGTATGCATTTTTTTTCCTTTTTTTCTCTTCTTACAGTGGAATGATCTTCCAGTATTATGATGAAGAAATGTTGCAAAAGCAAACGCCCTTGCCTTGTTCCCAGTCTTAGAAAAACACCATTTGACCTTCACTATTAAGTATAATGTTAGCTGTGGGTGTTCTGTAGATGGACTACATCAAGTCAAAGAGGTTTCCCTCTATTTCTAATTAAACAAAAAATCATTCTGAATGGATGTGGAAATTTGTACTGTATAAAATGGTAATATTACTCTGATTTTTTTCTTCAGCCAATTTTATGAAGATTTCATCAGTTTTCAAATGTTAAAAAAGTCTTACATGATTTGAATAAAGTTCGTTTGGTCATGGGGTATACTGCTTTTTGCACATTTCTGGATAAGATTTGCTAATATTTTGTTGATGCTTTTATCATCTATATTTACAGATGACATTGTTCTCCAGTTTTTTTTTCTTTTTAAAAATATCATCTTTGTTTAGGTTTGGTATCAGAGTCACAGTAACTTTACAAAATAGTAAGGAAGTGTTCCCTTACAATAGACTATAAAAAAAGGAGCATAGTTAATTATTCTTTATTTGTTTGATAGAATTAAGCAGTGAAATAATCTTACTCTGGCCATTTTTTAAACAGATTTTACTTATAAATTTAACAGCTTCAATAGTTACAGAACTGTTTACATTGTTCATTACATCTTGGCTAAGTTTTGGTAGATTTTAATTTTCAAGAAATTGATCCATTCTTCTGAGTTACTGAAATTATGCATGTAAAGTTACTCCTCATATTCACTTATTATCCTTTTATTAAATGCAGTGTCTACAGTGATATCTCTATTTCATACTTGACATGTTAAATTATGTCTTCTCTTTTTATTGCTGTTCCTGCTAAAGTTTTATAAATTTTATTTTATGTCAGAGAAGCAGTGTTTTTGTTCCTCTGCTGGTTTATTTTTTTTTTCAGTTTCACTGATTTCTGATCAAACATTATTATTTTCCTTTTTTCAGTTTATTTTGCTCTTTTCTTTCTAGTTTCTTGAGGATGAAACTTAGATGATTGATTTGAGAGCTTTTGTGGTTTAAAATGTAAACATTTAATGGTATACATTTTCCTCTCAGCACTGTTTTAACTGCATCCCAGTTATTTTGATTTGCTGTATTATTATTTTCATTCAGTCCTATGTATATTATTAAATTTCCTTGGAGACTACCTCTTTGATCCATACATTATTTAGAAATGTATTATTGAATTTCTAATATTTTAGAAAATTTCCAAGGATTTCTGTGTTTTTGAAATCTAGTTTGATTCCATTGTGGTCAGAAAAAAATGCTATAAATTTTTAACTTCTTTAAATTTAGTTATAGTTTTATGGAATATAATATTTTCTATCTTTGATGAATATTTTATGAGCACTAAAAAATTGTTGGCTAATGTGTTCTACATAGATCAATTAGATCCTGTTATTTCATTATGTTGATCATTTATTTCTTGCAGTAGGGTAGAGGCAGAAGTTCAGCTCTCTGCTGATTTCATTGTCACCACAGGAGGTTGATGAAACTAAAGTGTCATCTAGACCTACCTTCCATTTTCTTATTCTACTTTTTTTGTTGCTGGGTAGGGGTAGAGGATCAGCTCCCTCTGGGTAGGGGTAGAGGATTGCAATCAGTTAACTGCAGGGTTGAAAACAAGTGGCGTTCTGACTGGCCCTCAATCCTATAGCCTTGAGTCTTGAGTTCAGTCTTGATGATGCCAACCAGATGAGTTTCAGCTCACTGTTAGTGCCTGCCAACAATATGCAAGGGTACAGCGAAGTGGAGTGGTAATTAGCCCTTGCTTGCAATGCTTTATTAGGTCTCATTGTTATAAAGTGGGGCTGGAGGTAAAACCACCTTGGCAAAAATTATCTCAGTGAGAGAAATCTAATCTAACTGACTCCATCTTGCTTTTAACCTCACAAGCTAAATGCCTTTGTTAATTTTAAAACAAAGATGATAGTCGCTTTCCAAAACCAACCACCTTCTTGCTCAGGGACCAAAACCATCTTTGCAAGACTAATGAAAGTTCACAAGAATAGGATTATGGGAGGGCCCTGAATTCTGCTAAAATGTAGGCATAGTAAAATGATAACTGGTCATTGTCCTCTATCTTGCCTTTCTGTAATCACTTACTGCTTGAGAATCACATAGATGGAGGTCACAGGATTTGTAACTTCCTCAATTTCTCCTATAGAAAATGATACTGTTGTCAGAACTTAAATATTGGTATTTGAGGTATTTTTCAGATTTTTGCATTCTGGAAATCAACTGACTCTTTCCAGACCCATGATTCGTACCGGGAAACTGGCTCAACCTGTCTTGGAACCCCCTCTTAGAAACTCTCAGCACATGAAGACCATTTGGACATTCCTATGATTTCATCTCCAACCAATAAGCAACACCCATTTCTTCATTTCCTGCCCACCAAATAATTATTTAAAGTCCTAGCCTCTGAACTTTCCAGGAGAAAGATTTGAGATAAATATCCCATTAATCTGCTTGGCTGGCCTTGTGCTAATTAAACCTGCTTTGGTGCAATACCTGCTGTTCCCAGTGCATTGGATTTTCTGGGCAGCATGCAAGGTTAACTTGGCCTGTTACAGACGTTCATCACATCACTAACTGTATTCCAGTGACACTACCCTGGCATTAAGTTGGAGCACCATTTTCTTCCTCAAGAAGATCAGCCCCCATTCGGTTTGCTAGCACCACACAGTAGGAGAAGCCATCCTGTCTCCTTCTGCCAAGCAACTGGGTGAGGTTAAATATCTACTTTATTCTTGGCACGAAAACCATGAATAGGGTATGATTGTTATGTTGGTGCTTGGCTACAGTTGGATCAGTGTTGCCAAAAAAGGCCTGTGGTGATGCCACCATTTTCCCACATCTCGGCTAAAAAGCAGTGCATAGTAGAGAAATACGGAGCTTTTTTCTCATACTTTTTTTGGAGCTTTTTTGTTTGTTTGTTTGTTTTATGCCTATTGGTTCTAGGACAGAGACCTTTATGATGCTCTGTGTAGGAAAAATGGAAGAGAAAGAGAAAACCTAGGGAATACAACACTGTGTCATTCCTCAAGCTCCTATGTCCTTATGAGGTTTACCTACCTCTTTGAAACTTTCAGTCTTCTTGACTGTATTATTATGCTATGTGCTGGGTCTTCTACTTGTAAGAGAAACCACCTAGGGGAAATGGAGCTAATCTATCTTGGCTAGAAGCAGATGTGTATGGATTGAATTATAATGATTAATTATACTGAATGAAATATTGAAACTAAATGCAAATGACAAAATATTTTTTGAATAAGGGGCTTTGTTTAATTTTTTTAAAAATGCTGCAATGTTCCACACATTTTGGAAAAAAAAATCTTTCAAAATTCTAAGCTTATAGTTTTTACATCTTTTCTAGTTTTGCTAAAATAGAAATATTACATGTGGGACTTTGAGAATAATAATTATGCCATTTTCTTCATTAATATTCTTGACATCCACTCATGCTGAGTTTAATGATTACTTTCTAGATTTTAATATCACCTATGTGAACTAATAAGGCATCTACTTAGAGTTTTTGTGTTGACTTAAAGATTTAGGCATTTTATGGTTTATGTATATTAATACTAGATGAATATGCAGTGGGCTTTATTTAAATGTTTCAAAGCTTTTCAAACATTGTAATAATGATTAATAACAAGTTTATATTCTGCTCATATTAGCTTTTCCTATATTCCTTAGGGATTTTAGAAAATATAATTTTAAAGGTAACTGAATTTTAACTTACATATGTACAGTTTTACATACAAATTCAACCAGTGTTTTCATTTGTAATTTAGAATGTGTTGCTTTATTTCTGAGCAGGGAATTCCTAAAACTTCTGTATTTTAAAAACTTATCCAGTATCAGTAAATGAAAACAAGATGTCATCGTTCCATGTAACTCTACTATATATTTATCTTTATGATATAATCAGATTATTTTTTAAATTAAAAAAACAAAAGATGTAAAGATTATAGGTGTCAAAAGTAGTTACTGGCCTTTCCTTTAATGTAATGAGCAGAATTGGAGATGAAATATTAATCCATTTATGCTGATTATCTGCATATAAACAGTTATCTCAAACTCAGGGTCAATTGACAATATTTAAGAATTATTGAAAGAAGCTTTTAAACTGAGATATTTAAAATAATTAAAGTCGATTTCAATCTTCTATGGGGCTTACATGATCCCACTAAATTGAACTCTTTTAACATCAAGCAATTTAAAGGAAAACAAAAGAGGGAAAATAAAAAGAGATGAGAAACCTTAAATATTTGATGTAGGGAAGAAAGAAAAAAAAGTAACTATTGTTAATTCACTTTATTCAACAATAACTGGGCTCAGGGTAAAATGTTTTCAGATCTGGGATGCCTTCTTATCAAAGACTTTAGCTTGCAGTGGATGTGGTAGGGGTGATTCTTCTTGCATGATATCTGAATTTCTTCAGAATTCCTATTTTCAGTAGCTTATCAACATGGAGAAGAATTCGTGTAGAGTATCATAAGATAACTCAACAATATATCTGTGTTTATGTGTGTGTTTCTGTTTAAGGGGGCAGTAGTTCAATACTGCTTTAAAAATAATACTCCCTGGCCGGGCGCGGTGGCTCTCGCCTGTAATCCCAGCACTTTGGGAGGCCCAAACGAGGGGATCACGAGGTCAGGATATCAAGACCATCCTGGCTAACATGGTGAAACCCCGTCTCTACTAAAAATACAAAAAATAAGCTGGGCGTGGTGACAGGCGCCTGTTGTCCCAGCAACTTGGGAGGTTGAGGCAGGAGAATGGCGTGACCCCGGGAGGCGGAGCTTGCAGTGAGCAGAGATCGCGCCACTGCACTCCTGCCTGGGCGACAGAGCGAGAATCTGTCTCAAACAAACAAACAAACAAACAAAAAAACCTCCCTAAATTTTCCCCAGGAAAGTAGGACCTAAATTCCACAGAACTCTCTCCCCAGTGATGTTCACATTTGCAGTGAGAACTTTCTTGTCCTCCTATTCTTCACATAGAATCCTAGTCGTCATTATTACAGGAACATCTGCCTTATCGTATTTGGGGTAACAGGATTTTCTAATTCTAGGTATAGAATTATGAACAAATCTTATTCTTTGTATAAACCTTATTTTCTTAAATTACCTGTATTTAAAATTTTTTAAATATACTTTGGCTTTTTTTCCATTACAAAGGTAAAATAGTCCTAAGTAGTATTTAGTTGGGAAGTCCCATGTTTATGCTAAATTTGCTTACTTTTGTTATTTTCTCAAAATATTTTCTTGAAAAAATTATTAATAGATTTTTCTAAAGGTAATTTAAAAAATGAATTGACATTTAAATAACATAGTTAATTACATTTAGTTACCTATCATTTAAGCAATGGAATCCTAATTCAGTGGTTATTTAACTTCTATTTCACATAAGACATATCTCTCAAATAAATATTCAAATTATTTTCGACTTTTGTTGGACATAAAGTCTCACTATGTTTCACTCCTGGGTTCAAGCAATCCTCCCACCTCAGCCCCCTGATTAGCTGGGACTTCAGGCACATACCATTGTATCCAGCAAATTTTCAATTTATTAAAAGCTTAATTACATTTTGTGATCATCAAGATTAAACAAACATTTTAGATTATTGCATATAAGCATCTCTCTCACTCTTCACATATACACACAATAAAAATGAACTACAGTTGTGGTTACTCACTCTATTTTAGATACTTATATCTTTCCTTTGTCAATAATTATATTTAATATATTTATATATGTTATTTGTTATAAAAAGTAAATATTAACTAATTTTAAATAGTTTTAAAATATAGTATCTACTACAAATGAATTCTATATCACTCATAAGCTAACATTGTTGCTGGAATTAATTTTATTATTTACTCATATTTATAAAACTCAATAGCTTTTCCTTCTATTTCAGACAAATTATACCTATTTTTCTCAATAACACATGGCTACAGTGAAAGACTTCCATTTATTGGTAAGTTTTATCCTTAACTGATGAATGCCCCATAATAATAGTAGACATGGTAAAGAAGAAAGAAATTATTTATATAACTTTTTGTGAAAGCTCATGATTTAGAGACTAATACAGTGGAGCTTATTGTGCAACTTACTGTGAAATTTCATGATTTATTATGCAGTTCTTAGGAGCTTATTGAGTGTCCTTATTGTCACACTTCATGATTTACTGAGTAATACAGAAGAGCTTATCACATAACTTGATAGTGAAATTCTGATTTACTGTGAAATAGTTGTTCCAATATGTTTCTACAATGGGAAGAGTTTATCTAACGTTTTCTAATTACAGACAAGCCTCATCAGACACTTCGTTTTCAAAGCAAGTAATATCTATAAGAAAGCTTTGAATGCATCTTTTACAATAGGAAAATTTCTCCCTTCAAAATGATCATTTATCCTAATTTCTGAAGCATTTAAGTCTGGGAATTGGCCCCAAGAAAATGAAAGGCCATTTCTACTTTACTTCATAATGTACCATGATGACACAGCAGTTGATGATAGTTATTTTTCAACAGACTAAAGTTAAATTTTTCTAAAAATGATAAAGTCACTACACTTGAATGAATTAAACGTCTCGAATTATTTTTGTAATACCTGGCTTAACTGTTTCTCTCTTTCACTTATCATTAAGCAAAGCCTTAATGGAGAAATTTTATAATTTGATAGCATGCAAAATTGTAAATTTATAAATTACCACTAAAACTGTAATGCTTTCATAATATGTTTATGCTAATTTTTGCTCAAATATATGAGGAAATTCTATAACATTCAATGTTTTACTAATTTTTAAACTCTTTTTTTGTTCATTTTTATTTCTTAAACTTTATATAAGCTTAATAATAGTTAAATATGTGTAATGCAAATACGTAACTTAACTCTTGAGAGAATATATGACTTTGATGTTTAATTTCACTTATCTGAAAACTAAATTGTGCAAGCAAATTAGGATTATTTCATTTAATTTCATTTAATCTATGCTTATATTTTGATATAGAAGATGTTAAATGTGGATTGTACGCAGTTACAAGAATCAATACTCTATATGCCCAAATATAATTTCACTCATATCCCCCAGGGAGCATGAAATACACAGAATTGTTTTTAACCATTAGCATGTCTACAATTTGAAAATTTTGGATCTCTTGACATTAGGGAGAAAAGAGAAAGAGATAGAGGGTGGGACACAAATCTTTGGGGAAATTTTATAGCTAGGAACAAAAGAAGGAAAAGTAGTAACTGAGCAAAATGGAAAAAGAATAGTTATAGAGCTAAATACAGAATCTGAGGACACAGTGCATTTTTGGATACAGTGCATTTTTTCACCTTAAACTTAGTCAGTTTTGAATCCTCTGGTAAGGCTTATTATTTTCCTGGCAGCCAGTAGGCAATTTGATGCAAAGCTAAAAAGCTGTTATAAAATAGGGTTGATTGACAGATAATGTGAAGGAAAAAATCATATTCAAACAAATAGCTTTACTAAAATATAATGAAATATATTCCCTCAAAATGGAGTTAGTAAAGACAAAGTAATTTCATAAGATGTAGATCCTATTAGATAATAATAGTACAAAAACTACAGAAGTAGACTATGCATAAAAATAGTTAATTTATTAAGAGAGTAGAAATTTTCATTTACTTTTATGAAATTAAAGACAAGGCAACAGAATCTTAACTAGGAAAACTAAAGGGAACTATATTAAAAGAAGAAAACTACAATTCTTTGAAAAGCATTGTGTTGTAACAGGACAATCAAGAAATATGATGGCAGGAAGTGGAACCAAATACTGACTCCACAACACATCTTTCATCTCTTATGAATTGATGAATCCCTAATGAGAATGTATTTGTGGATATAACTCAGTCACACCATCTATTATATTTAGTAATCATTTCAGTAACAAATGCTTATCAAATTCACTTCAAATATATAGATGATTATTGTTCTAAAACTTTACGTTTGTGTATGATGTACCAATGAACAGAAACCTCCACTTCAACACACACACACACACACACACTAGCACACTCTTTCTTTCTTTTCTTTTTCTTTTTGTTTTTGAGACGGCATCTTGCTCTGTCACCCAGGCTGGAGTGCCGTGGCACAGTCTCACTGCCGGCCTCTGCCTCCCAGGTTCCAGTGGTTCTCCTGCCTCAGCATCCTGGATAGCTGGGATTACATGTGTCCACCACCACACCCGGCTAATTTTTGTATTTTTAGTAGAGAGGGGGTTTCACCATATTGGTCAGGCTGGTCTCGAACTCCTGACCTCAGGCAGTCCGCCTGCCTCGGCCTCCCAAAATGCTGGGATTACAGGCGTGAGCCACCGTACCTGGCCCACACTTTAACGTAGACTTTTTCTTTCTTTTTTTCTTTTTCTGAGATGGAGTCTAGCTCTGTGGCCCAGGCTGGAGTGCAATGGCATGATCTCGGCTCACTGCAACCTTTACCTCCCGGGTTCAAGTGATTTTCCTGTCTTAGCCTCCCGAGTAGCTGGGATTACAGGCGCCCGCCATCACATCCTGCTAATTTGTGTATTTTTAGTAGAGACGGGGTTTCACCATGTTGGCCAGGCTGGTCTCGAATGCCTGACCTCAGTTGATCCGCCGGCCTCGGCCTCCCAAATCGCTGGCATTACAGGAATGAGTCACCATGCCTGACCCACATAGCCATTTAAACAATTTATCAAAAAGTAACATTTAAAATTTGTACTTTGTAGGCCGGGCGCGGTGGCTCAAGCCTGTAATCCCAGCACTTTGGGAGGCCGAGACGGGCGGATCACGAGGTCAGGAGATCGAGACCATCCTGGCTAACACGGTGAAACCCCGTCTCTACTAAAAAATACAAAAAACTAGCCGGGCGAGGTGGTGGGCGCCTGTAGACCCAGCTACTCGGCAGACTGAGGCAGGAGAATGGCGTAAACCCGGGAGGCGGAGCTTGCAGTGAGCTGAGATCCGGCCACTGCACCCCAGCCTGGGTGACAGAGCCAGACTCCGTCTCAAAAAAAAATAAAATTTGTACTTTGTTATTTGAAATTCACAACCTTAGTCAAGTAATAAAGCAGGGTTGAATGGACACTATTCACTCTGCTTCATATCTCTACACTCCCTAAAGATCACTTTTTGGCCTCTGGCTGAGATCAAGAGCACTACCTGAAGATGAAAGATGCCAGGAGCTGATTTGCAGAGCCTCTCCCTACACATTTTGTTGTATTGAATTTGTTTCATTTTATTCTCTCATCTTTCATGGAATGTTACAATTACCTAAATTATAGACTAATACAGAAGTTTTTGAGCAAAAAAGTGTATGTGCTGTGAAGGTCCACATTTTAAACGATCCTAAAACGTAATTGTTTTAGAACGGGCACTTGTCCGGGTCCCAGTGAATGACTCATTTTACGGCATCACATTCAATATGGATTCTATCAAAGGAAAACCAACTCATTCTCAAGATGAAATTCATCCTTTGCATATTATGTACCAATGACATCATTCATTCAGTGCCAATTATGGAAAAATAGGTTTCAACATAGAGTGGCTTGTACTGTTTATTTAATAAAACTTTCAGAATGTGTTTCCTTTATAATTTCCAATTATTGTAAGTGTTAAAGTAAGTCCTGCAATAGTCTTTATAACACAAGAAAAGGCTTCAAGGGAATCATATACTCAATAGTACTTGAGTGGGGTATTGAAAAAATAATGCCATTATTGCAATAGCAAACATCATCGACTATATAAATACCTTCTTGTCTCATTTGAAATATGCACAGGGCTTTATGTCATCATCCATTTTACAAGTGCATTATTGTCTCCCACAGCAGAGACCACGTAGGATGCTAAAATTTGAAAAGCTTTCTTATGCATAGATTGATAGATTATGCATTATTAGATTTGTATTAGAGAATCATGTATTTATGAAAAGCAGTAAGTGCTCTATTCAGCAAAAACGTTACTCTGTTCCTCAGACTATAGAATATGTCTGACTTCCTGTGGTAGGGTTTTTAGTCAATTTGTTGGAGTCTTTCCAAGGACAGTCCAAATGAAATCAGGGGTTGCAGCATTTTAATATCTCTTTGAACCTAAGAATTGCTGAAGCACTCAGAAATCTGCAAATTTGCCAACTCTCTTGTGGGCCTTTGTAGAGTGTTGGTAGTTAATTAATTACTCCCTAGTAATCAACTTTGCAGTGTAATAGCAACTGTTTATTTTATTAACTTTATCAAATGCTGAATGAAAGATTAACCTGCACTATGTGCTGTATTCAGTTGTAAACTTTTATTAAATTTAGCCAAAACAGATAGATACAAATAATAAAAAAGTTACCTGAATATAGATCGGAGAAAAAGGGAGTTTAAGTAATAGAATAGCCACAGTACATTTAAACTTTTGTTTTTGGTAATGTAAATTCGATATACTCAACATATTACCTCAGGAGTAGTAATAGAGTACATAACTCAATTTCTGATTTTGCTATTAAGGGCCATGTCAATATTACACAATAAAATACATATTTTGTGCAGGAACAAACAAACATGTTTCTAGCATCAGAAGGAATATATTCATTGATAAAACTGTTTGCTCTTTTGGATCTGACTAATATAACTCAGTTGAAGACGTATGCTGTCACTTTTTGCCCTCTAATATGAAGGTACCTGATATAAAGATACCAGATAGCCCTTGACTTTGAATTTAGACCTAGTACTTTTCATTGACCATTTGTTAACTCCAGTGAATTGTCTATGCAAGTATTGCTAGCCATATAGACATAGCAATTGGGGTGGCAGGGCAGAGAACGCACAGATGACAACTTATTGCATCTGCCCATAATCAACTTCCATTGTTCCTATTTTGCACCATTTACTTTTTTATATTCGTACTGTTCTGAGCACAAAATTTTGAGTTCTACACAAATTACTCTTAAGACAAAATGAGCAATTCTGTGACCCTAGTATATGCCAGACAAGTGCTAAATTCCCAGTGTTCAAAAAAGATTTTTAAGTGTTCTTATTATTTTCATAATTAGAATAATTGTGAAAAATTTAAAATATTTTATTTGGGCGTGATTATGTTAAAAAACAAGTTATATGATAATATCCAAGGGTGCAACATGTTTTCATTATAACTTTTGCTTCATTATCTTGTATATGAGTTATACAATTACTTGGATAATTGTCTTTAAAACTAAGTGCATTGTGTTATGGTTTCAAATGCATGAATGGTATGTTAAAGAATTATTCAGGGAGCTGAGGTGGCTCAGGCCAGTTGTCCTGGCGCACAAGAAGGCGAGGCTATGCGTTCGAGGCCAACCTGGGCAACATTAAAACAAAAATTTTAAAAAAATTATTCAAATATTCTTAATTTACTTTGAGGATTTTATGTGTTACGTTACCAAAAAAAAAAAAAATTGTTTTTAAGTATCTCACAGCCATTAAAGACATTTTACATTTTACCTTTTTTTCTAATAAGATAAATCATATTACTACATTTATTTATAAAGTAATTCATAACAGGTTGAAAGACTAAATTATTATTGTTATGTTTAAAATTACCACCATTCTTTCTTATTTAAAAAACTATATATTAATTTTGTAATCACTTTTTTGTCAGCATTTGATATTAAACTTCAAAAATATCAATACATTAAATGGGAATGTTTTCATCTAAATTTCTTTTCTGCAACATAAAAATGGTTTTCTATGATATGAAAATGATTTTAAAAAATCAAAAAAAAAAACTTGCTTTAGTACCATGTTGGCAGGTTGCCTACCTTGGATACAATTCTTTGAAAGCTTTTCCTATCTCTTCATCCATTATTAAGTCTGTTTAAATTTTCCTTACTTTGTAATTAAATTTGGATAATATGCTGGGGGAAAACTGCAGTGTCACACTCACACAATAATGATATACAGAGCTGTACTAGGCATCTTATGTTTATGATCATGATATTCCCTCTGTCTGAGATTTTATTGCCTTTCTAATTGTTCACTTTGTTAATGTGACTGTATAGAGTTAACAGGAAGAAGCCCAGCAACCTGCTGGAATCCTGTGTGGTTTGTCTTCATTTTTGGCTTTGTTTACTAATACTGATGATCACCTACCTGCAATAAAGAAATGCTAGGAAAATTTTGATCTCCTTTCCCTGGATGAGCTTACTTCAGCTTACTTCTATTCTTAACCTCCCTCAATTAGCTTTTTGTATCCTTCTACTTCTTTCTTTAACAAAGAAAATCTTTTTCAGAAATATTTTAATCACTGCTCTAATAGCAGATTTATCAACCTGGCCTTTGATATATTCTTTGAATCAGTTGCCACTTTGAAGATAAAAAGGAATTCAAAACAATAGTAACTATGTTTAGAGCTTCCCTGTGTGTGTGTGTGTGTGTGTGTGTGTGTTGGCTGGGAGGTGGTGGGTATAGAGTTTACAACATTGGCTTGATTTTTTTTTCCTTCCGAACTTATGTAATTTTTTATTATGTCAGAATTTATTCAGTAAAGAAAATAGACAGCATATACTGTTATTGGCTGGATACTTTCCTAAATGTTTAAATCTTGATAAATTTACATTGATCCTCCAAATTTAGCAGATTATAGAGGCACACATTTTTTCTCAAAGATACGTGGCTCAGTCTAGGTGGTCTTGTGTTATTCTAGGTTCTTCTTCTCTTTTATCCACTGCAGGTTTTGAGAGCCTTCTCCCTGATCAACATGGCATTTTCTTACAGGACTCTCAGGCTCTTCTCGTTTCAAAATAAAAACAACTAATCTCGTGAGCATTACTGAGTCATGCTTTTTTCTTTTTTTCTTTTTTTTTTTGCTAGTGGTGATACTGAGAGGGTATAATGATGAGTAGGTTATGTCATTCTCTACTGGGGTGTTTGTATATGTCTATATTTTTCTTAAAAATCTTTAGACCATTTTTAAAATACCTTCTTGTTTGACAGCAGTAATTCTGAAGTTAGACTGTTTTAAAAATAATTAATCCCTTATTAAGTTATTGACTGGATATTGATTGTATAGAGTCTATAATCACTATAACTAAAATTTCATTTGTGTATCACTTTTAATACTTTCAGTTATGTTTAAAGAATTATATTTGCTCATAAACCTATGAAGAGAAAAATTTGTGATACAATATTCAGTGATCAAATTATTTGCTACACAATTAGGTGTTACAAAGCCTGCCTTACTGCTGACACTAAAAAGAAAAGAGTTTGACCCTTCACCAATTTTAGTGTAGCCATTCAGAAATACACACTAACATATGGCTGATTGGGTGAACAAAATATGAAAGGTGTATAATAATAGGATAAAATATAAATGTAGTACTAACACCTAATACTAATATATCACACTACTCAAATATTTAGGTTTAAAACAGTTATTAAAATTATGACAAACTCATTCTAAGACATAATAATCAGTTACTTTCAAATGAATGCAATGAATTACAAACCCTTATCTTCATTGTGTATATCCCTGAAATAAATATATATGTCAGACACTAGATAGAAATTTACATTCCTTTTTATTTTATTGTGGCAAAATATATATAACACAAAATAGGCCATTTTAAATATTTTAAATGTGTCATTCAGTGGCATTAATTATATTTATACTTCACAACTTTTTTCTAAACTACAGGAGGTTACATCCTCTTTCAATACATTTTTAGCCAAAACACACACACACACACACACACACACACACGAGATACGATGAGATGGTGATATTTTCATAAAGAAATGGTAATATTTTCTACCACATTGTGTTCCAAGATTAGTGAGAGATAGTGAAGAAGTCATAAATCCTCTGAATCTTTGTGTAAGGGAAATATGTTCTTGGTATTACTTTACAAAGTAGAGAATTTAAAGGAGCATCATAATAATTTCTTAATCTCGTTATTAATTGTAACTGTATATTATCACTTATTCCTGTATTATATTTGTGATACACAATGGATATTTACTTCATATTATTTATTTAACTATGCCTCATTATTGGAATAATTAATAATAATAAAGATTTAATTAGTGATAGTCACTTGGTTTTATTTTGAGACATACAAAAGAGTTAGATAGTGTATTATTTCCTTGTGTACTAGGTAAAATATTCAAAGAAGATGAGATCTTTGTCCTCTCTAGAAATTTATGATTCATTTTGTGGCCACACATGATGACTTTGTTTATCTATATTTGCATATGTAAAATATTTTAAATGTTTTGTTATTGTTAAACAAAACAATACATTTTCCTTTAAGTTCACTCTGGGTTCACTTATAGTTCACTCAAAATTATACTTAGATATATAGATACATACATACATACGTATCACCTTTACATTTGATTTACTAATTTTAAAAGAGCCTGTAGGAAACTCAGTAGTCTTACAAATATAGTAGTGTTGGGACATAATAAAAATGTATACATAAATATGTATTTTATACATAATTTATATTATTAGTAGCAATTCATCGTAAGTTAACCCAATGTCTACCATATTGAAGTATTATCTTAATAAAAAAGTTTTATTTTGCTTCATATTCTTACAAAACTATATACAGAAATATGTACATGAAAGTAACTCATGTTTA